GGCTATGACTCCCTGATCCATTGGCTGAAGTAGTGATGTGGTGTTGGGGGGTAGAAATACCACCTTTACATTGGGGTGCATGTCATCTAAAGTGTTTGGATGTCCAGGGGCATTGTCAAGGAGAAGGAGAATTCTGACAAATGTTTTTGGCCAAGAAATACCATTCAACAGTTCAGACAAAATGGTTCAAAAACCATTCTTCAAAGACCGTAACCATAACCCAAACCTTTGAATTTTCCCTCCAAATAACAGGAAGAGAGGCCTTAGTGGCATTACGTAGTACCCTTGGATTGAAGAAGTGATGCACTAACAAAGGTTTGAGCTTTAAATCCCCAGATGCATTACCCCCAAGTAATATAGTCAGTCTGTCCTTTGATGCCTTATATCCTGGTGCACCCTTTTCCTCATTTAAAATGTAGGTTCTCTCGAGCATTTATTTCCAAAACAAGCCAGTTTCACCTACATTAAAAATGTGCTCTGGCAAATAACCTCCATCGTTAATAATATCTTCCAATATCTTGGGAAAATCAGTTGCAGCACTTACATCGGTGCTCGCTGCTTCAACTTGAACTGTAATGTTATGCTAAATAGCGCTTTCTTTAACCATTTGAATACCGGCCAATTTTACCCCCTTCCTGCCCAGGCCATTTTCCAGGTTTCAGCACTCTCACACTTTGAATGACAATTGCGCGGTCATACAACACTGTACCCAAACTAAAATTTTATCATTTTCTTCACACAACTAGAGCTTTCTTTTGGTGGTATTTAATCACCGCTGGGGATTTTATTTTTTGCTAAATTATCAAAAAAAGACAGAACATTTTGAAAAAAAAACACATTTTTCTTTGTTTCTGTTATAAAAGTTTGAAAATAAATAATTGTTCTTCATAAATTTAGGCCAAGATGTATTCTGCTACATGTCTTTGGTGAAAATAACCCAAATTAGGATGTATTTTTTAGTTTGTAGGAAAGTTATAGAGTTCACAAACTATGGGATATATCTGAATATTGATCAGTCCTTAAGTACTGACAGCCAATCTAATTTCTTGAGGTCCAAGAATGTCAGAAAAGTACAGATATCCCCAAATGACCCCTTTTTGCAAAGTAGACAGTCCGACGTACTTCATAAGAGGAATGGCAAGTTTTTTGAAGTTGTATTTTTTTTGTCATAATTTTTCGGAAAATTAAAAAAATGCAAAAAATTATTTTCACTATTTTTTTTTTACATACTGACACCAATGCAGTACAGTGTCATCATATAACTGGCATGGCGGTGAACAGGGACACTGACTGATGACAGTATGAAAAAAAATATATATATATATTTTTAATTATTTTAAATTTTAAATTTGTTATTACTTTTTTTTTTCTTTTTTTTAAGATTTTTTTTTCATATTTCACTATGTCCAAAGTAGTACAATGTTACCATAGTAACATTGTACTACTTTGGGGAAGTGATCAGTTTTTTTTTTTATTTTTTTTTACACAATTTGCTTATAGCAAAGAATCACTTTGCTATAAGCAAGCATTTACCTGAATGACATCGATTCATTCAGGGTTTTTTTTTTTTTTTGTGGTTAGCTGTGATTTGGCTACAGCTAATCACATGACATGTGCATGTGATTAGCTGTGACCATTCACAGCTAGGCAGTAGTATACAATGGATGGCATGAAGTCATCCATTGTATACAACTGTCATGTGACCTGCTGTGATTGGTCACAGCAGGTCACATGGTACCGGCAACGGGGCCGATACTCAGATCTGTCATCGGCCATGTCTGAGATACACGGCTGGTGACAGATCGCGCCGCTGCACGGTTCTGCAAGCGCGAAAAGTGTGCATATTCGGGAGGACGCCATTTGGCGTCCAATCCAGAAATCTGACACATTTTTCCTGCCGGCTTTTGGCTATTGGCCAGGCATGTATTGGTTAAAGTGATTGAACCAACCCCTACTTGCAACAAATTTTTAATTGCAATTGACTTTGCTTGCGGGACAACTTGCTTTTCAATCTTTGAAAAGGCTTTGAGCCTTTTTTTTTGGACTAAAGAAAGACTGATAGGCATATTACGCTGATTTTGGTCTTCTATCCAAACTGTCAACAGCCTTTCCATCTCAAAAATAAACCACTGCGTTGCTTGGTAATAATTGTAGCATGCATTGGGGTATGGTCTTTTACATGCTCCATTATTCTACCTTTTATCTTTTAAAATTGTTGTGATTGTTGACCGATTGTAGCCAAATGCTCCGGCAATAGACGATGGAGTTTCATCTTTCTCTGATCTCTTTATTATTTCTACTTCAGCATCGCCAAAATACGCACGTTCCTAACCCCAGAAACCACTAAACAGCTCATCCACTCCCTCATCATATCACGACTCGATTACTGCAACTCCCTCCTCACTGGCCTCCCTCCACTGGCTTCCGATTGCGCAACGGATCAAATTCAAAATCCTAACACTGACGTACAAAGCTGTCCACCATACTGCCCCGTACTACATCTCTGACCTAATATCCAAGTACTGCCCAACACGCACACTCCGCTCCTCACAAGACCTCCTTCTCTCTAGTTCCCTGGTCTCCTCCTCCCATGCCCGCCTCCAGGACTTCTCCAGGGTGTCACCCATCCTCTGGAACTCCCTGCCCCAACCCATCAGATTATCACCTACTCTCCTCTCCTTTAGGCGCACCCTGAAAACCCATCTCTTCAGGGAAGCCTACCCCACCCCCTGCTAACTTGCCGACCTCCTCCACTCTTCCTACCACTCCATCCCCCACAGCTTTCTCCTCCTGTGCCACCATCCCCTCCCTCCTAGATTGTAAGCTCGAAAGAGCAGAGCCCTCGATCCCCGCATGTTTTGCATTGTATTGGCATTGTTCTGTCACATGTTCTGTCCCCCTTTGTAATGTACAGCGCTGAGCGAACCATTGGCGCTTTATAAATACTGTATAATAATAATAATAATACTTTATTTTCCATGGTGATGGTTCTTCTTTTCTTTGCTGTATCACCAGCACTTGCATCAGATTTTTTTTTCATTGCAGTGTGATGATAAAAAACATGGAGTGGAGTGCACTCTGTAAGTGAACAAGAAGAAGAAAGAAAAGAAAGAAAGTGTAGCAGCCAGCCCAATTATTTCCAATTTATTCTAATAAAACAGGTACTATACTGTATAAAAACACTCACTGAGGTGGCAAGATATAAGGCTCATCAGTTAGATATGCTTGCTTGTTGTGCGTCCTCAGCACCCAGCAGCAGCAGTGATCCCTGACTCTCAGAGCCATCCAGCAGCATGGGATCCAATACAAAAAACAGCTAAAAGAGACCCAGAAGGATAGTTACATTCAGGACCAAGCAACATAAATTCCAAAAAAGGCTTTATTGACTAACTATTGTATAAACAGTACAAAAACAGATGGTATTGAATGGGAGCTCCACAAAGGCAGCTGAAATGAACTCAAGCTGGAACATAGGTGGATATACACTGCACTGTACAGTAACACAGTCCTGCTATCATATAAGTTACAGGTACAAAGAGCATACTCCCAATAGTAGTGGGCACAGAGTAGTGTAGTAAATCTCACCGGCTTCCACAGGTTCCAGGCACTTCTGGCTGTACAGTGATGTGGGATATTCTGGGCATGCTATGATGTGGGATGTTCCAGGCGCTTGTGGCCATGCAGTGGACAAAACTGTATGGTAGCCGGCAAGTTGGATGCTCAGTGGTATCTGGGACCAGTATGGAGCACAAGCAGTAGGCCGGCAGTGACGTCACACTGCCTCTGTTCGTTAGTAGGAGTCTTCTGTAACTCGGATGTTCGTAACTCGGGGACTGCCTGTAATTACTTCCAGTATGCAAGAAAAGTGTGAAAAATGCTGTTTTATGGCATTATGTAGACATAATAATAGTTAGAAAGATTTACAGAAAGTATACAGAAAAATTATGCTTTGAAATGCAGTGTCCTTCTATACAGAATAAGAACTGTTTATGTAAATTAGTGTAGCACCCTCCTAGTTTAGCTAGGGGAAGCTAGACCCTAATGGCTAGTGAGGAGCTGGTTAGCAGCTCGGGTGAGATAGCCAGAGGGGTCAAATTCTGGTCAGGACTGAGAGACTCTGCAGGACAGCCCCTCTGGAATTTCCCCCTGCTCTTAGGCTGCCGGAGGAGGGCCATGGAGGCAGTGGGTGGATCTGAGGAGTGGTTGGTTGCAGTCTTGAGGGACCTCAGCCAATCCTCAACAGAATACAAAGAAAACAAACAGAGGGCGCACCGATCTAGTGCATTATTGTAAAAAATGCTTATTGTAAGGATAAAAAGTAAGTATCATACTCACAATTGACATACAGGTCAAAGGCACATCACACTAAATAGTGGTGTCCAATCCACACTGCATATAACTCAGATTTTCGAAGACTCTGTGGCTCTGAGGAAGAGGCTGAGTCCTTGAAACGTGTTAGCCTGTTGGAAGTCCAGGGTTCCATTCATGGACTTATATGCAGTGTGGATTGGACACTGCTGTTTAGTATGATGTGCCTTTGACCTGTATGTCAATTGTGAGTATGATACTTACTTTTTATCCTTACAATAAACATTTTTACGATAATGCACTAGGCCGGTGTGCCCTCTGTTTGTTTTCTATGTATCCAGTGGCATTGGGCAACCCCAGTCCATTGAGGGGAGCAAGGAGGCATTTTCCAGGACATCTGAGATGTTACCATAGCCCTAGCTGAGTCCATACCCAAGTGCGGGAGTACAGAGTTTGCTGTGTTTTCTTAATCCCCAACAGAAGGCTTGGCAAGGGGCTGGGACTCCCTTAAAGTGTTACTAAACCCAGGACCCTGCATTATCTATATCCTGTCTCCAACAGTACACACTACTTGGAAATGCAATTATTTTAGTAAATGTAAATACCTTTTCTCATTAGCAGTCTTGTGACTTCTATCAGTGTCCAGCAGAGCACTGGTTAAAGCTTGTAGGAGTTTTCATTCTGCTCTAGGAGGATGCAAAACCCCTGACCCCTGTCTGGACAGTGCTGATTGGCCCTGTGCTAATCACTTGCACTCTCCCAAGAAAAAAAAAACCTTTCTAGCAATACACACCAAACTGAGCATGTGCAGAGTGTCTCCACACGATATGCCTTATCAGGAGAAAAGTGAAGGAGACTTGAAGAAGGGAAGGAACAGAGAAGTTAGGATCAAAGAGAATTTGTACACAATGCAGAGGATTAACCCCTTAGGTTCCACAGTGAGTATAACAAGCATGCTTTACTGCATACACAGACTGATTTTACTGTTGTCAGTTTAGTAACACAAAGTGTGGGAGCCTGCTCAGTAGCAGGCGTGTGGTGGTGGGAGAGGAGAGTGCAGCAAGAAGATGTGAGGCTGGAGGAGGAAGGCTGCCAGGAGGCCTAGTGGGATGGGGCTTGCCTGTGAGCCTGGAGTCAGAGAAGAGGAAAGCTCAGAACTCACTGGCCCCCTGTGGCCACCTGTATGGCAGGGAGGGAGCAGCCCAGATGATAGGTCTGGTAGCAGCAGCCATTCCACAAGGGGTACAGGAGAGGATCTGAGTGAGTACACCTACACCCTCTGGGCGGATAGTGGAAGGAGCACTCTGGTGGGAAATCAGATTAGCCCCCTACTAGTGCTTGTGCACCTAATTTAAAGGAACAGGAGCCAGATCCCCTGCTCAGGAAGAAAGTCTGCAGATTGCTGGGTGAAGAGTTCAGCTAGGTCTGGGGTGGTACACCAGGCGATGCTGGCTAGCACGCCATCAGAGACTATATTGTTTCAAGAAGAAGACACGTTTGTAAATAGTTCAGGAAGTTGTCCTCAGATTTCGGTTCCTTTGGGCATCCTGTACACCCCTTACCCTATCCAAGTTCTAATCCCCTCAATAAATAACAAAACCAACGCTCAAGACCTGATTTATGTTTACAGATGAAAGCTTGTGTGGGAAATGCTAAATAGTTACATATAGTTACATAGTTAGTCTGGCTGAAAAAAGACAAAAGTCCAACCAGTTCAACCATTAAAAAAAAAAAGTTATAATCCTATACCCACAGTTGATCCAGAGGAAGGCAAAAAACCCAGCAAAGCATGATCCAATTTGCTCCTGCATGGAAAAGAATTCCCTCCTGATCCCCCGAGAGTCAAACGGATATTCCCTGGATCAACTTTACCTATAAATGTTAGTAACCAGTTATATTCTGTTGTTATTATTATGTTGTGTGGTTATTTCAGGTGAGGGAAGGTTTTGGGTGGTTTTCTATATTAGGTGGCTAGTTAAGTGATTAACCTCGATATTCTGCATGTTACATAGTTAGTCTGGCTGAAAAAAGACAAAAGTCCATCCAGTTCAACCATTACAAAAAAAAAACCCAGCAAAGCATGATCCAATTTGCTCCTGCAGGGAAATAAATTCCTTCCTGATCCCCCGAGAGGCAATCGGATATTCCCTGGATCAACTTTACCTATAAATGTTAGTATCCAGTTATATTCTGTGTATCTAAGAAAGAATCCAGTACTTTTTTGAAGCAGTCCACTGAGCTGGCCAGAACCAACTCTTGAGGAAGTCTATTCCACATTTTCACAGCTCTCACTGTGAAGAAACCTTTCTGTGGAGCAAGGGCGGACTGACAACTCATGGGGCCCCCAGGCAATAGGGAATCATGGGGCCCCTGTGTCCTTGCCCAAACTCAAAAAAGCCTATGAAAAAGGTACCAGGGGCATCTCATGGGGCCCCCTACTGACCCCGGGCCCTCGGGCAGTGCCCGACTTTCCAAATGGTCAGTCCGCCCCTGCCGTGGAGATTAAATTTCTTTTCCTCCAGACATAAAGAGTGCCCCCTTGTCCTCTGTGATGACCTCAAATAAATGACTGGCTGTGCAGGACTATTGGGGGACCCAATTCAACAGCGACCCCTAAAGGGATAGTGCTCCATTACATCTAGCATTTAGGAGATGTGCAGTACTGTACAATGTCCATATACAGAATAAAAACAGATTCAGAGAATTTCACCTAGTATACGGAACAAAGAAATGCTACAGCACAATGTCCATACATACAGAATAGTGACAGATACTAAAAATGCACCCAAAATGGATTCTTGTATTATTACTGTGTTATATTTACATTACAAAAGTAGAGAATTATATCCAGAATTTCTAACAAGACTGTAGCCATGCAGTGCCTATATGTAAATGTTGTTGAGCTTTTAGAAACAGTAACCCAAACAATGAAATACACGTGTACTGCATTTTCACACATGAATTAGATTGGCATAGAAGAAACATGACATCTGGCAACTATGCAGGAAAGAGAGCACCATTGGGTCTCTGGTGAATGAGTAGATTCAAACAAGATTTGTACATCATGCAGGGAGACCAGGAGAGAGGCAAAGAAAACTGGATGATTCCCATGATATTAGGGTGAGTTTACGCGGCTGACCATGTTTATTGATAAAACAACTAGAAGTGTGCGTTTCATTTCTATTTGTTTTTCGGATGAAAATTTCATTTTTGGAAATTCAGATTTTTTGGAAATTCTTTAATATTTATAAATGTTTACAAATCTCAGAATGGACATAGTAAGGAATGTCAACGAATCCGAAAAAAAAATTATAACGAAATTACCGAATGCATTTGTTTAATTCAGATGGTGTCACATGATGCGATAATAGTTCCGGCCCATTTTCAAATTTATTTCATCATTTAGATTCAGGTAACGAATAGATCCAAATTTCATTGCATTTGTTAATTTGAATGCACATGACACCTGTCAATTTTGTCCACCTTACCCTGAAGAAGTCACATGAGCTGTGATGTTGGGTGGAGCTTAGTGATGTCACTTCCGGTCATGGCTAAACTGGCACAAGTGATGTGAGGAACCATTTTGATTGATGGCTCTGATATGCCTTTGATTCATTTTGTACGCTCGAAAGAGTAGGGCCCTCTTACCCCTCATGTGCTGTTCTAGCTGCTGTAATGTTTCATGTATTGCTATTTACAGCGCTGAGCAAACCCTTTGGCGCTATATAAACTCAATGTAATGTAATGTAATTACTTTTGTGAGTGCAGGTTTTATTTGAATAACGTGTTTATATTTTATGCGGTTGTGCTATGATCTATTCTCTTTATTTTTGATCATATACACCTTAATTTCACTGGATATCTGAGAGCATGTTCCCTTAAAGGGCCAGAACTAATGAAGTAGCCACTAAGGATCTGCAGTGGATAAGCAGAATTTCATTTCATCTCTAAGCATGTATAACCTATTTGTTAGGTCAAAGAAGAAGGTGAGTGTATGGTGCACATACCTGGTGATGGGAAACACCACAATATAGTCAGCACGGTGGAGTAATGCATATATGTTCACCATATTTCGGAGTCACATATAATTTGTTTAATGTGAATATATACTGTAACACGTTTAATGTTTGGTTATATAAAAAGTGTTGCACTATGGTATGTTTTTGTTTTATTTTGCACGGATCTGGAGTTTAACCACTTGTCTACTAGGCACTTAAACCCCCTTCCTGCCCATACCAATTTTCAGCTTTCAGCGCTGTCACACTTTGACTGACAATTACTCAGTCATGCAACACTGTACCCATATGAAATCTTTCTCCTTTTTCTCACATAAATAGAGCTTTATTTTGGTGGTATTTAATCAGCACTTGTTTTTTTATTTTTTGCGCTATAAACAGGGGCGGACTGACAACTCATGGGGCCCCCGGGCAATAGGGGATCATGGGGCCCCTGTGTCCTTGCCCAAAAAAGCCTATGAAAAAGGTACCAGGGGCATCTCATGGGGCCCCCTACTGACCCCAAGCCCTCAGGCAGTGCCCGAGTTTCCAAATGGTCAGTCCGCCCCTGGCTATAAATGAAAAAAGTGACCAAAAAATTTAAAAAAACAAATTTTTCTTTGTCTCTGTTGTAAAATTTTGCAAATAAGTAATTTTTCTTCATACAATTTGGCCAAAATGTATACCTCTACATGTCTTATATAACTTAAATCTGTGGATACAGGTGAAACTCAAAAAATTAGAATACCGTGTAAAAGTTCATTTATTTCAGTAATGCAACTTAAAAGGTGAAACTAATATATGAGAGAGACTCATTACATGCAAAGCAAGATAGTTCAAGCTGTGATTTGTCATAATTGTGATGATTATGGCTTACAGCTCATGAAAACCCCAAATCCACAATCTCAGAAAATTAGAATATTACATGCAATCAATAAAACAAGGATTGTACATAGAACAATATCGGACCTCTGAAAAGTATAAGCATGCATATGTACTCAGTACTTGATTTGGGCCCCTTTTGCAGCAATTACTGCCTCAATGCGGCGTGGCATGGAAACTATCAGCCTGTGGTACTGCTGAGGTGTTATGGAAGACCAGGATGCTTCAATAGCGGCCTTCAGCTCTTCTGCATTGTTCGGTCTCATGTCTCTCATCTTTCTCTTGGCAATGCCCCATAGATTGTCTATGGGGTTCAGGTCAGGTGAGTTTGCTGGCCAATCAAGCACAGTAATCCCACCTGTATTATTTGGTCTTTGTGAAAATAATAGAGTCTACAAGCTATGGTACCAATCATTGAAAATTGATGACACCTGATGACACCTGATGTACCTCATTTCTTGAGACACTAACAAGCCAGAACAGTACAAATACCCCCCAAATGACCCCTTTTTGGAAAGTAGACAGTCCAAGGTATTTAGTCAGAGGCATAGTGAGATTTTTGAAGTTGTACTTATTTCCAGCAATTCTATTGAAAATGAAGATTTTTTTTTTTGTTCAACAAAAATTGTTATATTAATAGGTTATTTCTCCCACACGGCATATGCATATTTGCAACTACACCCCAAAAACACATTTTGCTACTCCTCCTGAGTATGGAAATACCACATGTGTGAGACTTTTTCACAACCTAGCCACATAGAGAGGCCCAACATGCAAGGAGCACCATCAGGTGACCTAGGGGTATAAATTATACATTTAATTTCCTGACTACCTATTACACTTTTAACTGTAGTAAAGTGTCGGACAAAAATAAATAAATAAATCAATTGCTGAAAAATTCTCAGTGTTGGCCTACACACCTGGCT